TTTTTTTTTTTTTTTTTTTTTTTTTTTTTTTTTTTTTTTTTTTTTTTTTTTTTTTTTTTGCGTGTGGGGTTGGGAAACAAGGTTTTATTCAAAGATTTGAACTCCCTTGCAACTTTATTTAAGAATGCATGCTGGTGCTTGGATATATTGCCGCAAAGGAGATGTATATTGGAGTTACATAATTTCAGCCATGCGATTTATTAGATTTGTTGTTCCAAAATCTCTTATCATTCTAAAATTTTGACTCTTAATCCAGTCTGAGTGGTCTGAATAATTGCTGAGACACTGAAAAACAGTTTTCTTTCTGTCTGATTCCTGTATTGTGAAGTCTTACTCTCAGTAAGGCAGTTATATATAGGAAATTGAACTGTGATGTGTAAATTTGAGCTGAAATGTCGTTCCTTTTTGTACTTGGAACAAGATTTTTTCTTGATTATAGCGAGTAATGAGCACAGCTTAGCTCACTTTATATCCCTTGGATCTTCGCTTCTTTTTTCTTTGCAACTGAAGATCACAATTTTGAGCTATTTATTTGAAGAAATACGTCTTGGTTTCAACAATGATGCTTTACCACAAGTCTATAAGTTATCGCTTCCATGACATTGTCAGTTAGATTAGTTATCAACACCCTTCATCGTCTTTAGACTATTTATTGCGAAATATCAGTTTCTCTGTGCTTGTTTATTTCACTTGGTTTTTAAATAAAACATGCGTTGGATGGAAAGGAGGCAATGAGATCTTTGTTTCTCTGTTGTGGGAAATAAAATTTAGTATTAACTTCGAAATATCAAGTTTTTTAATGCCACGTCTTGTTCCTAATATTGTTGCAAATGTTCCAGAGACTTTTAGCATCATTCCAAGAAAACCAGTATCCTGAACGAGCTACAAAGGAAAGTCTGGCACAAGAACTAGGGCTCAGTGTGAAGCAGGTAATGCATTGAGTTCCTTTTGAAGTTTTAGCTAACATTTTATTCTAGCAAAAGGCTCAACTATTTATTCCATTTTCAGGTTAACAAATGGTTTACGAACACACGTTGGAGCACACGCCATCCCTCAAGCGTTGAGGGTAATAAAGCAAAGAGTTCCTCAAGAATGGGCATTCATTCATCTCAGGCAAGTGGAGAGCTGCACCAGCCCGAGAAAGAATTTGGTGCCCAACATCAAGAATTACCTACAGCAGATAGTGTTGTGGCCCCATGTCAGAGTGGGGATACAGGGGATGTCAAATTGGCAACTCAGGATACTAAAAGATCAGAATTTTCTGCCGCAAAATCCAGAAAACGGAAGGGCAGGTCAGATCACGCTGCATCGCGTTCAAAGGACAGTAAGGAATCACAAAGGCCTCCTGCCAAGTCACCAAAAGTAAATGAAATCCAAACAGCACATAGCATTAAGACGAGGAGGAGAAATTCCTTATAGGTTCTGTAAGTTTCGATCGTTCACGGGAAATTATTTGGCTATTTACTCTCTTCCAAGATACACATTAGAACAAATGCGGGCATCGTCTGAGGGGAGGTAATTCCAAGAACAATCACAATTGTTTGTAGTTCTTTGTAACCACATTAAAATTCCTCTTTCTAATTCCTCACACATAAATGCTTAGTCTTAGTTATGTAAATCGAGAGCTTGTTGTTAGATATTTATTTGTATTTTCAAATGAATGCTCTCATGAGACCCTTCTCCTGATGTGTTAAACAATTAATTAGTTGCAGATATTGCTCTGTTAAAGAACAAAAGAGCTACTGCTACCCTCCAGCTTCGGAAGCTTTGCTGCGGATATATCACTTATGGATGCTACATTGCTATCAAGTCTAAATTGCTCTTGGCTTTTTTATCCAGATTTTAATGTCATCATCCTTAGTGAAATATTCTGCAATTAATCCTGTATGAGATGTGAACTTTAGGTTCTGCAGAGTCAACATAATGTAGTTCTCTTCACACATGAAAGCAATCGGATCTTCTGCGCACATCCTGCGTTTATCGATTTGAATGCATCAAAATCCTGTCAACCACTGAAATTGGTATCAAATCCTCGTCCATGTAGATGTAACTTATTTCCAAGCTTTCTGGAAGTTATCATCTTCTAAATCACAGGAAGCTGGAGCTCTGGGTGACCTGTGATTGAGCAGTGAAATGTGTATGGGCCATTTCTCCCAAATGGGAAACCACTGGAAGAGATGACAGAAGCAAGAATCTTGAAGTTTCAAATCATTATTGATCTTTTTTTCTTCCCCCTTACAGCCTACTTGGTTTGATGTAATTTACTCTACAACTTATAGTTGAAACAAATCAGGCCTCTTGTGTTTCCATAAGCAGAAGAGATATAACATTAATGCTGCTTCTTCCTGGTTTTACATAGGATTCTAAGCACTTCCCCTAAAGTTAGTCATGTACTTGATATATGACGACACAATCAGAATGAAGAAGATGACTCCAGAGTTCTTGACAGACATACAAGAATTAAAGTCGGAGATTCAGGTCGAGCTTGAATGGTTCCATTTGCGGTTCTCGTAGTGGTGGTGACTCTGGGAGAACTTGATGTTGAGTGAAGCGGAAGCTTCCTGGCCACCTCAAGTCCATGGCACCCCCCAGCATGAAAGGTGCCCATGAACCACTTTTTACATGATTAAATCTTGCTACTATTGCAGTATCTTCCCTGCTTGTTTTGTGCACCAGTGAATGTGGTTGAACACCAAGTGATCTAACCATAGAATTATGCATTGGCAGACCAAGCAGAGTCATCATTCTCTGGGCTTGGTGCCTTCTGGCTGCACTCCTCTCCCTCTTGTGGGCATTTTGATGGCCTCCCAATGCCTGTGAACTGAAGAATACTCTCTTACAGAAGTTGCATGAAAAGGTCTTGGCTGAACCTGCAGAGCTTTGTGATTCAGGTAAAAGCTGTTTGTTCCTACCCAGGCTCAAGTTCAGCCACTCCAAAGCTCCTACACCTGCAGGTTGGTCTGTTGCTTCTTCTTCTTCTTCTTCTTCTTCCTCTTCTTCTTCTTCAACCGATTCATCTTCTCCTTTTTTCTCCTTCAATGATTCAATTTGTTCTCCTTGAAAGATCATTGCTAACCCAGATTCCTAAAAATTAGCAGCGATGATACTGAACTATAAAATGGACAGGATTGCTGATTCTTTATCTAGCTGGGAATGGTAACAACTCATGATTCTTCTTAGATTTCATTTTCCAAGATGAACAAATGCTGAGGAAGTTGTGAGAGGATGAAAGTGTAAGTTTTCGTTTATATGTTTCTGCATTTCTTATCTTCATTCTCCTCCCGACCATTAGTGGTCCAGTGGACAATGCTTGTGTCATCTGTACTGTTTCCCTTTCAAACTAAAGGATTCCCCACTTCCATCAATCTTTTCCAATCCCTAATTTCTTAATGCACTCAGATTATACCACTTATTTACGTTGGAGATGGCTTCAGGGAATCAGGTATTCGAGCCCCTTCGTAAATCTAGATATCTTTTAAGTTAGGTTCACATCATGGTAGCTACTTATTAAGGAGATCGAGTATTCTATTAATTTTTTACTCGAAATATCTTACGTTAGACAGTTGCCTTGTGAGAAGTGTACAATCCTTTGGCGTTCATGATTATGAAAAAGCTCACAAGGACAGTCACAAGTTTGAATTCGAAATCACTTCAATTATTTGATTCAGCCCTACAAAGAAAATACTTGCGTAATGAAAGATTGGTCAATATTCAAACTCGAGATAATGTTGATTCTTCTTTTGTCTTTGTATTGCTACCTTCTTAGCCACATCTTTAGGAGCCCTATACCAACCTTACACAAAACTTGTTTTTGGGAAACTTTTGAGAAAATACATGATTGAAAGTTGTACAAAACGCAACATCAATATCAATCACAATCTAACAAGCTGTTTGAATTGTCCCTCCAATGCATCGAAGGAGTACACTTCTTATCCAACACAAGTAAACCGAATCACTTTTAAAACTACTTTTGTGGGATTCTTTTCCAAGGCTGATGTTGGCAACACATATCTCTACAACCAAGCGATTTCCTTCGGGTCCTCATTCTGTTTGGCAAAAGAGAACAGGTAAAAAAAAAAAAAAAAAAAAAAAAAGTTGTGAGAAGAAGCATCACACAAAGCAGATAATAGTGGTTTAAGCATCTTTATTAGATATAGATGGCTTTGCATGTTGACCTAATTGTACATGATTAGGATAATGATGACTTAGTTTTATTATACCCTTTTCATAAGCATTCAATCAGCCTAATCACATGCCTTCTACAGGGGAAATCCACTCAAGGGCCACCTTTGTATGCATTGCTAATAAGTTCTTTCTTTCCATTATAATCCCATGGAAAGGGATGGTACCCCCACAAAGAAAAGATGGGTCTTTTGGCTAGTGAAGGGTAATGTTTCTAAATAATATTTGATTGGTACTTCTGTATTTATTTCTTGAGGGGGCGGTGGAAGGATAAGAAAGGGAAGGTACTTATTTCTTCCACTTTTATTTATGCAATATGGATAACCCTGAATTGGTTAGTTCGTCTTCTATGTTGAGGTTTGCTTGTTTTTTTTTAATTACAAGTTAGCTATTGAATTTGGACAGGAAATTGGAAGTACTTACTCATGTGATCTTGTCTGCAAAACTTTAGGCTAGGCTAAGACAGGATCTTTCTCTTCCTGTCTCCTGGTGCGAAGAGAAAGGGGAAGAGGACATTTGGATCTTTACCCTTCATGAACTTAACTAATGTTGTCTAATTCTGTTCGATTTGCTCGTTGCTTTATTTTGTGTCTTAAGAGTGAATTGACTAGAACTTGTGTGAGTTGTTTTCTCTGGATGACAGCATTGTTCATGACAAAAAATTGAAATATAGTATAGATATTCTTAAGCAAATGTAAATAGTGGGAGAATAGATTATGAAAACCTTCACATGTGAAAGTGAATGTGAAATAAAAGGCAATGTAGGGAGACTTGCCTCAGAAGACTGTCAAAAAGAAAAAACCTGTCAAGAACCGTTACAAGTAGAAGGTAAGAATCCATTCGACCAAACTTTGGTAAAGAATTTGTGGCAAAGAGTAATAATATTAATGGATAGACTTGACCTGAAAAGGTTGAATCATGAGGCATCAACTAAGGCATTTTAAAGAAAGCCTGACAACCACTCTGATCAAAGAACACAAAATTGCATTATCTTGACAGTGCGATTAAATATGATGGAAAATGTGAGTTACTGTTTGATGACTATAGTAGAAGCTAAGCTTGAAATAAAGGGTTCGTAAATCATGGGGATGATGATCATGCAAGCAGTAAAGGAAAGTCAAGTGGATTCTCTCTACTTTTTAAGTGCACCTACTTTCTAACTGGGGTTCAGAACAGTCCTCTTCTGTATATTAGATATACAGTCGTGAGAGAGACAGAGAAAGAGAAAGAGAAAGAGAAAGAGAAAGAGTTTTACCATTTGAGATTGAAAAATCTCTCCATTCTTCCTGCCACTGACTTAACCCTTCCACTATGAATATCAATTAGCCCAAAAAAATCAGCTTTTAACGTTGTAGCTAAAAGTTCAGTTACTTCTAAGGTAAAAGAATTGTAGCTAAGAGGAAATAATCAAAAAATTGTTTGAAGAAAAACCTGAATCCTTAAGGAGGAATCTTCAAACTCAGCCCGTTTTCCAAGACTCGTTGCTGCAAATGAACATTAAAACCTTAGATGGGGTCATAGATCGAGACTGGAGAGACCATTTCTGTCCTTACTCTGTTACCATTTCCAATCAAGTTCCTTATGGAGGGTGGGGGGAAGAATAAGTGATGGGGTTTGAAGGTCCCCATTGTTGAATAGCAGGTAGTATTTTGGGTTTCCTGACAAGTTTTTATCAGAGGAAGCAGGAGGGGGCCAGTCCATATGTAGGAAACAACACCACCAGCTAGTAGGCTGAGGTTATGGGCCGTAGAAATCAATAAAGATCTCCAAGTGCACCTGCAAGCAGCCATACATGAATTACATTACATTGTGGACCAAATAAAACCATAAACCATAAACCATAAACCTGGCTTTATAAACATGATATGTTAGTGTCAATCAAATCGGCTTCGGCAATCCCATGTGCCTGTTGCTATTGCGCTCCCACCTACAACAAGGATTTCAAATATGAGCAGAGCTACAACAGCCACTCAAAACACCAATCACATTTTAAAACCCTTGAAAGCTGAATACAGACAAGCATTTAGAAACCATACATGATTCTACTTCGTGTCGATTATTGGATACGTGATTTGAACTGTTCCCTTCAAACGGTGACACGCTCGACTCTGATTGGTGCTTCAAAATTTCCATATCCCATGAACAAACATAATTCACTTACAACTGAATATATGAAAAATGAAATACAAATGAGTATCCTAGTTGTCCACACATATTGAAAGCATTAGTGTGTAAAAATACACATAACCTTATGAAAAAGGCATACATCTTCGAAAAGTAATTGAAGTTAAATAATTACAAAATTCAGGCCCAGAAGAAACTAACAAGGTCAGATGATGAGCAATTGATAATTTTAGGGAATCAATAAGCAAACCGAGTACTGTGTGGAGAAATAGGATGAATTCCCTGAACAGCTAGAAATATTTTGTTATTACATCCACCTACCAAATGAAGTTACCAGAAACTCTCTCTATCTCACACACACTCTCTCTACCCAACTTCACCCCACATAGAATTGCTCACATGTGTGCTTCTACTGGAGATCACTCAAGTACCTGCAATGTAAAACAAAATGGAAAAGCTTAGAAGAACTTGATAACACACCTTACAATTTTTATTTGAATTCTTTATTAAAGTACGCCAGTTTAATTCTAAAATGCTTCATGCCTCTGAAAGTGTACATCACAAAAATATCACCCGTAGAAAATATCACATCTAGACTACCACTGCCAGAAATTAAAAATGATTAGCACAAATCAGACAAAATTAAGAATCAAATTTCCCTAATCCAGGAAAACCTAGAGGAGAAGAAAGGGAATCCTAGGCACATACCAAGAAAATATTAATATAATAATAAAACAGAATTGGTACAAAGGATCAACCTTCATGGTATAATCACGCAGTACAAATGAATAAGATTTGTGTAAGATTTACACTATGAACATAGAGCTTGTATTAGTTTCAGTTCAGCTTATGGGACCCAGTAATAAACATAGTGTGCAAACAAGTTATCAACCTCCTGAACCCTCGTGTACTTTTATGTGCAGCTTATCAGTACAGAACAGGTTTTCTAGGGAAGAAACGAGAAAGGTCAGCTCAAAAGCTTCATGCATATGACTGAGATGAAGTATCATCCATCATGGCAGATGCTTTGAACATCATCCTTGATAGTAATCCTGAAAGATGTACGCCCACATCAACCTCAAACACATTCTTCTGAGAGAATTTAAGTGAGCGAGTTTCCTGACTCAATAATTCTTCACTTTTTCCATTGATGGAAGTGAAGAAATTGACAACTAAAAGAAGTTAATTCATTAAACAGGATCAAACATCTTCTTCTTGCCCACCTAAACAGCATAAACTCACCAGCGCCACTTCAGATATCTTTTTTATGAACTTCAGAAAAGTACACAAAAAATACTACTAAAAAGTGAAAATGAAGGGGAAATGAACAAAAATGCCAAAAAAAGGGACCTACAAATGTTGCGACGGTTTCCGGCCTGCCAATAATAGAATGTCCTCGTGCATCACCCATCTTTTCCATTCCTTCCTATCATCCCAATCCAATTTCTTCTTACCAAATCACATTTTAATGGTATAAAAATAACTGCTTAGTAATGCCACATCATATGATCCAAACACAAATTCACTGACAAGTTATGACATCGGGATGATTATAACGATGGTTGCACTAAATAATGACCTCATGAAGAAACGATTGCGATATGCTTTTCATGTTTCCTATAAACAAAACTCACAAAAGGATACTAGCGATCCTGACAAGTACGGCAGAAGGTACCATGAGAAAGCTCGCAGAAAGCCCGTGCGCCAACACAGAGGTGTGATGTCAGGCAGGTAGCACCCATGATGCTGTGCATGGGCAGAAGAGACTGTGTGCATCCCAGTTCTCCCAAATTCCTGGAAACGACAATTTGAAACTGTGGCACCAACTCATGAAAGCAATCGAGAAATTTGCAATCAAGCACCTCAGAAAAGAGCCTTCCAATCAAAGATGATCAAGAGAGAGAAAAGATCATAAGTAATAATGTGAGAAATTTTTCTTAAAACAGATGGAATAGGGAAGACTCTGAAAATATTGGTGGGGTTTCTGTTCGTGTGATTAACCTTTGAGCTCAGCAGAGTTGAGAAGGCCTTAATTAAGATAATAAGAAACTTGATAGGCTGTTTCCTGCGGTGATAATTCTGAAATGGTTGAGTCTAGTGTTGCGTCGGAATGTAAAGGATAATTGCCAACAAGATTTATGCAACTCTTTTACAATGCAATCACAAATAGCTTGACAGATAACAAAAACTTTAAAATGCATGAAAATTAATCTGAAATTAAGATAAAAACATAAACAACAGAAATTCAATCTCCAGATGATTTTAAATTTACAGAAGCCGAAATCAATAGTAAACAGAGATCAACACGGAAAAAAGAACGAACATCGAGCATCAAATAAATCACAATTCAACGGAATTTATTCCTCCGTAATTCGTTCATCAATTCGTTTCGAAAGGAAACCAAGCAGCGAGTTTCGAAACTTATGAAGTACCTGGAAGTCGAAAATGCAAGCCGACGAGATTGAAGGCGAGGTCGAGCGGTGAGAGGTGGCAGGCGAAGCCGAGGAAGAGAAGGAGACGATCGGAGAGAAGAAAACCTAACAGAGGAAATGAGCGCGCGAGATAGAGATCCAGAAGAGCGCCAAGCCATTTCTTCTTTAATGAAAATTGAGAAAGATGAGAACGAAGTCAGAGTGTCGCAGTGCGAGGTTTTAAGTACTAAGAAGCTAGCTAGACGAGTATCGGATGGCATGAGTGTGCAGGTATTGCGTCTCGGTCCAGTGTTGGAGGTTAGATTATGCACCCGCTATTCAGAACGTATGTCGTAGATGGTTTAACATGGACACGGGAGAGTTTAATGCTCGAGAGAACCTAGATGAATGTATGTTCGGGATGTCCTCCTGATGAGGATCGACACATAGGTCAGTTCCTGACGAATGTGTTCAAGCAAACCAAGATGGTTGAGCTGTCCCAAGACATGGGATGACATTACGATGCATGGGTCATGTTGGGATCGAGATGACGATGAGATGCAACGTTGTTATATTGCAGACGATTGAACATGCTCGTTCAGGCAGTGTTTGTGGCCAAACAAACTTGAAAGTAATATTTAAATCGTTAATTATATCTATTTTTAATTATATTTTATTATCAAAAGCATTTCTAGTTGTTGTGCATATTCTGAAACCTTTCATGTTACAGAAAGAATCATCAAAGAACATGTTCTTCAAGGATTTGGAAATCCATTGCTGTTTGGTAGAAGAGAGCATGTTCTAGCACATTTCAACTGCTTATTGAAAGTGTAGAGTTTACCAGATGTTAAATTTACTGCTACTTTACTCCCTCTGTAGTGTAATGTCGTAACCGAAATTTGTTCCGACGACCAAACACCGACCTCGTCGAGATCACCTCCCTTCCAGCAGATGTTTACCGTCAAGCCACCCCGTGCCTTCAAGCCTTTAACGCAACCGTCGGACCAGACATCACAGGGAAGAGCAGGAAGCAAGTACAGGTCCTTGACAGTGCTCTGGACCAGCATTTCAGCAATGGCAGCTGAGAATCTGGATAGCCCAACAGAAGGAGCAGGCAATGATCAGGTAAACTATGTAGCTAGAAAGGATAGTGTTTCATTTGAGCTTACCCAAAGTTGGCATCTATTTGGAAAGGGGGGTGAGCAGTGAACAAATTGCTGTACAGCCCGCCTTCGTAATCACTTTCATGCTCTGGATCTACGAGCTCGAACAAATGCTTCACCATTCGGTACGCCTGCTCACTGTTCCGAAGACGAGCCCATAGCGCGATCTTCCACGCAGTCGACCATCCTGGACCTTCCTCTCCTGTTTCACATGAACCACACTAAGTTTATCATATATCCTTCCACAACATACCAACATTGTAATAGTTCAAGCCCACTGCTAGCAAATATTATGCTCTTTGGGCTTTTCCTTCGAGCTTTTTCTTTAAGATTTTTAAAACATGTTTGCTAGGGAGAGATTTTCACACCCTTATAAAGAATGTTTCGTTCTACTCCCCAACCGATGTGGGATCTCACAATTCACCCCTTTCAGGGCCCTGCATCTTCGCTGACACTCGTTCCCTTCTCTAATCGATGTGGGACCCTTAATCCACTCCCTTTCGGAGCCCAACGTCGTTGCTGGCACACCGTCTCGTGTCCACCCCCTTTGAGACTCAGCCTCCTCGCTGACACATCGCATGGTGTCTGACTCTGATACCATTTGTAACGGTTCAAGCCCACCGCTAGCAGATATTGTCTTCTTTGAGGTTTTCCATTCGGGCTTCCCCTCAAGGTTTTTAAAATGCGTTTGCTAGTGAGAAGTTTCCACACCCTTATAAAGAATGCTTCGTTCTCCTCTCCAATCGACGTGGGATCTCACAAACATAATCAAAGAGTACTATGATTAAGATTCGGATTAAGATTCAGCTCCTCGTTTGATTAGTAGTAACTGGATTCAGCTAATCATGCTCAGCAAATCCCAAGAAGTTGGTTGACAAACAGAAACCTCTTTTATGAAGAGTATTATTTGCAGCTTCCGAAATGTTGGGAGTTTTTTCAACAGTTATGGTGTGTCCTGGATACAGCCCAAACAGGTGTGATACATGTCGATGATGCACTTCTTGGTCCTCAAAATCAATAGCCTAAGCCAAGAAACGTCGTCAAGTTAGTCGAGTTAGTCGAGTTAGGGCGGTCTAGATAGTTAGCTCTACAATGTTCTTGGTTAAGAGACGAGATACTTACATACCCATTCCATAAGAGAACCATCTCTAGCTATCTTATAAGGCAATAGCCTAGCTTGAGCCTTCCGGACCTTGTCAATAATAGTATCCTTGCTTCTTCCTAGAATCTGTAAAGAAAAACATAAACAAATCCGTGCAGTATATGAAGTAAAAGAAGGTTTCAGTTTAAGCTTCACCTCTGCAGCAGCTATGATGGCTGAGAAAACCTCTTTTATGATAGCAATATCCATTGTTGTTGAGTAGCTCACACTAGCAGGCTTACCATCAGGAGCTATAAACATGTGCTCTGGGGATGTCGATGGGTTTGTTTCCAGATATCCATTCTTGCCATCAATTAGCCAATCCAACAGAAACGATGTGCATCCTTCCATCAAAGGGTATGCCTTGTTTCTTAAGAAATTCTACACAGAAAGTTCCATTTAGAGGTGACAGCTTATGAATTTGCAGTACAAAGGACAAGCAAGAACTTACTTTGTCCATTGTGTATGTGTAATGCTCCCACAGATGGGTACAGAGCCAAGCTCCACCCATTGGCCATAGAGCCCAAACGGCCTGCCCTTGATCCGGAGAGCTTTTTGCCCAGATGTCTGACACTTGATGAGCTACCCAACCATTTGCTTCATAGTTCACCTATGAAGTTTAAGAACAGGTGAGGCCAGTGAAACAGACAAGGTTGAGAACGTTTCTTCCCTATGATGGAAATCTTGTGATGGCTCGGATGCTATCAGAGGTAAAGATGCTTACTTTTGCTGTCTTACGTCCATTGACAGACAAGAAGGATGTGAAATCAAACAATGGTTCCTGGCACTCCTTGAGGTTGCATGGAAGGGATGGCCAATAGTTCATTTGGAGATTGATGTTCAAGTGTGGAGCACCACTGGTAGAAAAGAAAAGGGGAACACGTCTTTATGTATGGAAAACAATTGTTGGCTTCGACCCGTTATGTATGGTCGTTAGCCTCACGGTTTTAGAACGCATCTACTAGGGAGAGGTTCCCACAACCTTATAAGGAATGCTTCGTTTCTCTCCTCAACTGATGTGGAATCTCACAATCCATCCCTTTGGGGACCCAGTGTCCTTATTGATACCATTTGTAACAACCTAAGTCCACCATTAGCAGATATTATTCTTTTTGAACTTTTCCTTCCGGGCTTCCTCTCAAGATTTTAAAATGTGTCCACTAGAGAGGTTTCCACACTCTTATAAGGAATGTTTTGTTCCCCTCTCCAACCGATGTGGAATCTCACAAACCACCCCTTAAGGGCCCAGCGTCCTCACGGGCACACCACTTGATATCTAGCTCTGATATCATTTGTAACAACCTAAGCTCACCTTTAACAGATATTGTCCTCTTTGAGCTTTCCCTTCTGGGCTTCCCCTTAAGGTTTTAAAACGCGTTCACTAGAGAGAGGTTTTCATATCCTTATAAGGAATGCTTCGTTCCCCTCTCCAACCAACATGGGATCTCACAATCCACCCCCTTGGAGACCCAACATCCTTGTTAGCACACCACTCGGTGTCTGGCTCTGATACCAATTGTAACAATCTAAGTACACTGCTAGCAAATATTGTCTTCTTTACCTTCCGGGTTCCCCACAAGGTTTTAAGACACGTCCACTATAGAGAGGTTTCCACACCCTTATAAGGAATACTTCGTTCCCCTCTCTAAACATCTCACAATACCAAACCAAAGGGTCGAGAGAAAGGTAAGTCGAGAGAGAGAGATAAAGTCATGGTTCACTCAGTTCACTATTGCAAAACAAAAACAAAACCAAAAACTTACTCCCATGCCGGTGCGATGTTCTTGTTCCATATACCTTGAAGATTTGCCACCTGAGTTCCAGGCCTTGAACAAGAAATGAGTAGATACCGACTATATTGGAATAGCAGCTCAACCAAAGCTGGATCCTCATCACTCCCAAAAGACTTCACTCTCTCAGCAGTAGAAGTTACTCTAACTCCCTTCCTTCCAGAAGATCCATTCTTAGAGCCCTTTGAAAGCTGCAATGAAACACGATGAAAAAGACTCTGATAGTCATTCAAATGGCGTCCATAAAGATCCAAATAAGACATGTTTTTAATCTTCTTCATTGCAGCAACTGACTCTGAAGAAGGATCCTTCCCAGACAATGAAGGCTCAGTAAATGGCCCTTTAAATGAAGATGAAGCCACAAGACGCAACACAGCCCAATCTGAGCCATTAACCTTTAGCTTCTTTTCATCTAAATCGTGTACTACACCACTTCCATTATTAACCTGTAAGCTAAGAACAGCAGAGTATTGAATGCCCTTGGGATTGTCATCTAAATCCATTTTTGGTGGGATTCTCAGGCCTGGACAGCTTCCCTGTAGTATGATTAGACTTTGACCATCTACTACATGCGAGCTGTGATGTAACTTGCTATCCATGGACACTGAAAATGACAAGGAACCTGGTTTGGTAGCAGAGATCTTGGTTACAATTACTTGATCAGGATTAGAAGCAAAATGTTCCCTTGTAAATTCTATGTCACCCACTGAGTATTTCACTCTTGCTGTGGCTGTATTCAAGTCTAATTCTCGATGGTAAGTCTCTGGAGTATATGACTGATGGGATGCATCAAACTCAAGTTTGATGTCACCTAAAAGTTGATAAACCTGCATGATCACGAGATTGTGAGTATAACATAATATGCATACAAAGTGCTTCAAATTTAAAGCTCTATCAAGTTTTGAGTATGATAAGTGAAACTCCTAAAATGAAAGACAAAGATAATGAGTGAGATTTGTGGGGAAATACAAAAATATTTTTGAAATGCCAAAATAAACATGGTGAGATCCCACTTCGGTTGGAGAGAAGAACGAAGCATTTTTTATATGGGTGTGGAAACCTCTTCCTAGCATACGTGTTTTAAAAACCTTGAGGGGAAGCCTGAATGGAAAAATCTAAAGAGGATAATATCTGCTAGTGGTGGGCTTGAGTCGTTATAAATGGTATTA